CAAGCCACGCCCACAGTAAAAAAAATTGAATCCCACCCCTGGAACAAACCCCCCTTTTTTTCCCCATGCAAAGCAATTATTCTTAATTTCCAAGCATGCCCTTTAAAAACTCAGAATCCCCACGAACGATTTAAATCAGATGTATGTTCTGATCACAAAGCCGAGTGGGGAATTTTGATGCCAAAACAAGAGAATGAAAGAGGAAGTGGGAGAGTCTGAAGTGGTAAAATATGAGTCTTTTTCTTTTTTGGCCAGACATTTACTTTGGAATCTAATTTACATACTTTAAAACATCTCCAAACTAGCATTCTCCAGATATTTTGAGATTATAAAAGTCAGCAGAGTGTCAATCCCAACACATGTGGAGGGACCCAGAGAAAGGACAGCACCAGCTAGAAACCTCCCGTGATTAAAAAGAAGAGCACGATCTATCACAAACTTCTCGTATTGTATATGTACAGATATGAAAATCCCACTCCATTTTTTAAATTTGCAGGGCAGCTTTTTCCTCTGGCGGATTTATGTCTGTACTTTTCAACAGAGTAGAGAATGCCATATAATCATAGCCGACAGGCCTAGTTTTAGAGTCCTGTGATGCCAAATTACTTTATCAGTTGGAAAACTCTGAAAGTGGTGGAGGGGATTTCAGCATAAGTGCTACTGGTCACAAGGATGACTAAATTTAAAAAGGAGGGGGGTACATTTTTATTTATTATTTATTTATTCAATTTGCTTGCCACCCATCTCATCGCGGCATTCAAATATCCAACGCAATAAAAAGAGGAAATAAGTCTGAAGCTAGCGTGGAATTGAGAGATCTGGTGGGAATCCAAGAACATGGATATTCCCACAATTATTGTGTGCAGTCAGAGATCCGAATATGTCATCACATCTGCCATGGAAAACTAAAATTAAAACTGTGAAGCTATGAACAAAGCAGCTGGAAGGGAGGATTCTGCTCTGCTAAAGGGGCAACAGCTGTATTTTGTGAGCAAGTAACCTGACACAGTTCATGGTCAGGGTAATTCAGAAATAACCGCACATTAATAAGGCAGGTTTTCTATCCTCCCCACTGGTTTCATGTCACTTCAATCCCCACTCAAATTAGTAAGCAATCGTTTTGCAATTCACATTATGCAATATTTGCCTATGAGAGAAAACAACATCATTTAAAAATGAGGATAAATCAGATCAGTTGCAAAATGACACTATTATTCTACTCTATGAAGGGATTCTAAATTGTATGTCTGCAAGTACTGTATGAGTTGGGTGCTATAAGGGATTGTTTTTCTTTGTAGAACTGGATTCATCAGGTTGCAACATAAGGAGGGGTAAACAGTGACCTGCAGGCCATATGGAGCTGCAGCCCTCTTCCACATTTGCACAAACACTTACACCCATAGATAGCAGGGCTCTCAAAATTAGGAAGCAAAATGTCAGAATTCAGCCATGCCCTTTTTTCTTTCTTCTTTTATGAAGAGAAATAAAAATCAACATCGGTATTCAACCCTTACTTAAGCCTTCCCTTCAAAGGTAGTTAATACTACAGTATAACACTAGAATCCTTGGTGCTCTCTAAGCTTGGTGGTTTTCTTGCAGACATTTCATTACCAAACTAGGTAACATCATCAATGCTAGTAAGAAGTGGGGTTTGCTCTCATTTTATGTACTAGTAGTTTGTCCTGTCAGTGTTGGTGAGAGTGGTCTTGGTGATTCCTTGATTGGGCTGTTGTTTAGTGTTAGCCTGTTAGTCTTTTTTGAATGGTATGTAGATGTTGTTTATCTCCATATGCTTGTTGATGGCTAATTTTGTCTGAGTGCCAGGTGTCTAGGAATTTTCTACTGTTTTTAGACTTGGCTTGGTCTAAGATGCTCACAATCTTCCAGTTGAAACTATGGTTAAGTCTGCCCATGTGTTGTGAAATTAAGCAGCTTTCATCATGTCTTCTGACTGCTTGGTGTTTGTGAATGTTACCATTAGTCCTCTGCTTGTTTATCTCATACAATGGCTGTTGCAGTCCTTACAATACTCTTTCCTCTGAGGTTGCTGGGCCCTCCAACCTACCTAGGATATTTTGGAGGGCTTCAGTTGGCTTGTGCACCCTAATGATGTCATTTAGCTACAATAATCTGCTGGTGGTTTCAGAGATCCCCCCAATTTATAGCAATGTCATTCCCGTCAAAGCCATGTTGGCTATGCTACATTGTTTTCACCCACTGTTGAAGTTGCTGGAAGATGCTCTACAGACAATCTCTGTCTCCTCCCTCCTCAGATGCCCAGGGTAGCCAGGATGCCTGTGTTCATCCAAATAATGCTCCCACATTATACTTTTGAGAGCTGGATTGATGCCTGGTAGTGGACCACCTGATTGGTTTGGGTAGTCCTATGACAGCCCTGTGTTTCTAATTGCCATTACTGCTCTATCAATGAGTACATTCTGGAAGGGTAGAATGCTGTTCTCTTACTCCCCAGTGTATTCCATTCCCCTGAAGTTGTTGTTGATGATCACATAAGTGTTCTCTAGTTGGTCCTTTTTTATTATGACAAAGGTGTCATCTATGTACTGGATCAGTGGAGGGATTCAAAATTTTTTACTACCAGTTCTGTGGGCGTGGCTTGGTGGGCTTGGCAGGGGAAGAACACTGTAAAATCTCCAGTCAGAGGTGGTATTTGCCGGTTCTCCGAACTACTCAAAACTTCCACTACCAGTTCTCCAGAACTGGTCAGAACCTGCTGAACACCACCTCTGTACTGGATCCATACTTTGGGTCATATGCAAGGAAGTGCTATAGATTCCAGGCACTGCACCATAATCTCTGCTATCAGTCCTGAAAGCAGTGATTCCTTGGGTATTCCTTTGTTTTGTAGATATATTTCTCCATTGAACTGAAAGTATGTGATTAAGCAAAGGTTGACAAGATCCAGGATTCTGGGTATTTCAATCTTGGTCCACTTGGTTCAATCCATGTGCTGTGCAGCCATGTTCTCATGGATTCCCTGGTGAACTCTGGGTCCATGGATGTAAAAAGTGTTGTGACATCAAATGAGACCATGATTTCATTTCCGTCCATCATCACATTTTTTATTCTTTGGAGGTACTGTAGGGGGCAGTTTATAGAGCATTTGCTTCCTGCTGTGAGGTGTCCAAGCCTTTCTGTCAATTCTTTAGCAATGTTGTAGGTGGGGGTTCCTGGCAATGATACAATTGGATCAAGAGGTATTTCTGGCCTGTGTGCTTTGAACACATTGCAAAGCACACAGGCCAATATAAACCAATGCAAAGCATACAGGCCAGACATACATCTCCATCCAATTTTGTCATTGCCAGAAACCCCAACTTACAACAGTGCTAAAGAATTGACAAAAATTCTTATAGGCTAGTCCAGACTGGAGACTGGAGACTGGAGACCTAGTCCAAACTGGAGACACCATAGTGTGTATGTCTACATCAAAACTGACTTTGGTTCGTGGATTGAACTGATAAAGAGAAATTTAACTTTAACATAGTGTTCTGTTTTTCATTCAATTCAGTTCAGAATAGAGCTGGAAGGGACCTTGGAGGTCTTCTAATCCAACCCTCCGAACTGGTAGAATCCAACTCCTGGGTGCAACTCACTTAACCTCCTTGTTTAGCAACAGATAATTTTGATCTCAATTGTGGTCATATGCTGAGGATTACCTTTACTGGAATAACTTCCAAAAGCTTTACAAATTTCTATCTAGGGTAGCCAACAGCTAGTCTGCCATGCAATTTTGAGAGTTGTATGCCCAACACACTGACAGTTTCAGACTGGAGACAGTCACTGTGTGGAGGTAAAGGTTTAGACACAGCTTAATTTATTCCCTCAATTTTCTATCTTTCTCTGTGCAAGTAAGAAAGCTGCATTCTTGCTTTCTAACCACAATTAGCTAGAATAGGTCAACAGGTACATAACTTCAAAGGAAGTTTAACCTGGAATGGATAAAAACAAGCAATTAAAATACATTATGTATTAAGTTCATATTATACTACTTGAAGTTTGGTTCTTAACTGCAGATTTGTTTAACGTAAACAATAGCTGATAAAGTGCCACATATTTGCCTACTCAGTGAGGGGACAGCTGAGCATTTTCTTCATAACCATGCCTGTAATTTATTTATTTATTTATTTGGTTTGTCAATTGCTTACAAGATAATAGGTATAAGTAAAAACATAGTTATGAATACATGGATACATATAAGAAAAATAAAAGAAACAATAGGACAGGGACAGTAGGCACGTTGGTGCGCTTATGCACGCCCCCTACAGATCTCTTAGGAAGGGGTTGAGGTCAATAGAAGACAGTCTAAGGTTAAAGTTTTTGGGGTTTGGGGAAGAAACCACAGAGTAAATAAATAAATAAATACATACATACATACATACATACATACATACATACATACATACATACATACATACATACAGCCATTCAGCATTCCTGGTAGGAAAAGAAGAAAAAGCAGAAATAAGTTTTTGTGGCCAACTGAGGAGCAGATAAATTCACAGTGAAGTGTGAGGAAGGGCAATCTGTCTGAGTAGTGAAAATTCTAAGAGTTCACTAGAGGTGTTTTTAAACAGAAATGATGACAACTCTTCTTACTTTGTCCCAGATGTTGCCAATCACTCTCACAGAGGTCAATCCACGGATAACTCAATATAATATCAATCTCACCAAAAATGATTTTATGTGTGGGAGCTCCTGAGAGCAGGGTGACGACGATGTCCAGATGGATCTTTTTGGAGCAGGAAGCTTGTGAACTGCAGTCTGCAGTGAGACCTCTAGTGTTTTTCTTCTTCCATATCCTGGCAGAGTTCCTGTAAAGTATAAACACACACAGAGCTTCTATTGTTTGCAGCCCTTCACGAGCCCCACTGATCCTAATATGGAATTCAGCAGGAAACCCATGATTTCCTGACATAGAGCAAACTGGAGAAAATAAAGGGATTGCGTGAAATAAAAAGAACAAGATACACACACAGAGAGAGGGAGAGTCCTTCCATGAATTTGTTCCAGTTTCCAGTTTCTCTTTGGAAATGCAATGGAAAAATGGAATGGATTTAGCACGAATCCCTGATTTTTCGGGCCAAACCAGAGCAGAGGAATATACATTCAGCTCCTCCGATTGCTGCTATTTTTAAGCCTTGTGAAATAGCAGAGTCTCTGTATGCAAGATGAAGATTTCCTGACTTGAACTACTAACTACTTGCCTATTTATTCCCTCACATGGTCTTCTGTGGCTTGAAAAGATCAAGTGTAGAAACTGAAGTTATGATTTCATGATTGTCTGCCATGCGACAACAACAATAGCAATAACAACAACAACAACAACAACTCGTTCAAGAAGAAGCCTGCTATTAACGACTGAAATTCTCCTTTGGGATCTGTGGTCTTACGGGTGTGCTTGCAAAAGCTGGACGGAAAAACAAGAAAAGCAGGAACAACCAGCATGAGTGGCAAAGAAGAAGAGCCCGGCTACTCGGATAGTAGTGTGAAGAAGATGCTCAAGTGTGTGGTGATTGGTGACGGAGCTGTTGGGAAGACCTGCCTGCTGATGAGTTACGCCAATGATGCATTTCCAGAAGAATATGTACCAACAGTGTTTGACCACTATGCAGGTAAGAAGAACCCATTCCTCTTTCTTATATGTACCAGAAGTGTTAGAATGCTAACCTGTTTCCTCCCCACGAATGTGCATTTACATTTACATTCACAGACCCTATCAAAGCTAAGTACACTTTACCCAGTGATAGTAGATGGAAAAGTAGGATTCCTAAGGGGTGTAATTGTGAAAGCTCCAGAATAGAATAGAATAGAATAGAATAGAATAGAATAGAATAGAATAG